AGCGCTCTGATGTTGAATTGGGGCTTGCCCCCCTTCTACTTCTCAACGGCCCTGTGCCCGCTCGCTTTTCGCTCCAAGTAACTGCGGGATCTCCCGCGCTCGTCTCTGCCCCGCGCAATTCGGTCACCGGCGTCTAGGAAATCTCTGGCCGACCCAAGTGCCTTGCTAGCGCCCGCAGCTTGAATGGGCATGGCAACCTCGGCGCAACCTTCATGTTTGCCCTTGGCCACTGTCTGGCCGCTGTCGCGGGCAACGGACCCGTTGGCGGCGCTGTTGCGCTTGCATGACTGGGGCGCCTCAGTTGGTTTAGCGGGGCGGCACGGGCCAAACTGAAGCGGGCCCGCATTGTCGGGGGGCCCCTAGTCGAGTGCAGCCGCCGCTGTTTCGAACCCGTCCACTCGCTGTTTCTGAAGGGCCGCGTCAGCTGCAGCTGCGTCGCCCGGCCTCTCCGCCGGCTGCCCTTCCGCGCGCGTTCCGAACTGGCGTTTCCAGTGCTCGATGAACTTTCTAACCCCGCCGTCGAAATCAACGCGGCGCGCGCAGTTCTCTCCGCATTTGCGTTGGTAAGTGCTCTTTAGATGGAAGGTTTTCATGATATGTCTGTTCTTTGTCGCTGCTGTTTCGTCACTCGTCGGCGCTGTTCGGAGGGGGCATGTATCCTGCTAGCCGGATAGCTGTTCCGGTTCCGCGCTGCGACGTGCCGAGGGCTGGGGTTGCCCGAGCAAGATGCTCGGCGCTGTTGAACTTTCCTGCCCGCTCTGCGGTTGTTCAAACGCAGTCGCGCCCACTCCCCTGGAACGGTCGGCGGCGAGGTACGCCTCGCATCCGCAGGCGCAGCGCCCACCCTCGGAGACAACAGCGCGACCTCCTTGACCCCGGTCCCCTGGCCCTGAGCCCCCCCCCCCCATTGCCTCCGCGACCTACTTTGACCTTGGGGCGCTGGCCGTGCGCACTGCGTGCGACTGCTTCTTTTCTTGGTACTTGTCCTCCGTGCTCGGCAGTTGCGGCGTGCCCAAAACCCCCGCGCGCGTAACATTCGGGGCCTTTTCCTTTGCCTTCTCCCTTGTTGGTGACGTTCGCCCCTGCGTCTTCATCCTGCATGTTCTCCTGGTCCTACTGGTGCCGCTGTTCATCTGGCCACCAATGGTCGCTGTCGTCGACGTATCCTGCGTCGTTCCACTCGCGTTCATCTCTCCATGTGTCGTCGTTGACGTTGTCGACGCTTCCGATTCCCACGGCGCTGGCGCCTTCTCTGCGCGCCCGCGTCCCACGTCTTCGCGCGGGCCCAAGCATCGCATTACGCGTGCAGTTTCTGAACACCTCCCTATATTAGCGAGTGAGGAATTTTGAGATACTCCTGGTGAAAATCCTCAAAACAATCAATGGCATGTGACATGGTGTTTTTTTCGTATGGCAGCGATGCGGAACGGCAGGTTCAAGGAGCGCGCCGGTCCGAGCTTCTCCAGCATTTCCACTCGCGCCGCCCACTGCTCTAACAATGATGCTACGTATCCGACATGTTTGGGGTGGCCCGGGCTCCTGGCCAAGCTCATCTTGGCTGAGAGGGCAACGCCTGGAACTGCCGAGCATCCCTTGCATATTTTCGGTGCGCCTGCAGTCCGCTTCCTCCGCGCAGCCCCGTCAACTTTTCTAGCGGCTCCACCCCGTCCGGCTTGTCGATGGGGATGCGCCGCAGGTCCATATCTAAAATGCGCAGCTATCGCCCTCAAACACAAGTTCACCCTTGTCGTCATCATCTTGTTGTTTAATCGCTGACGCTTTTGCGTAATCAGCAACCGTTAACCTACCGCAGAATATCCCAGCCACGTCGTCTTCCCACTCGTCTAGCACACCGTCCATTGTCTTCAGCTTTGCTGTTCAGGTCCTTGAGTGACTTGCGACACTTCGGGCACACCTTTCCGAAGACGTCAAGAAACTTTTCGCTGCATTCCCTGAGGTCGCCTCGATCACAATCGAATGTCTTTAACTACTGCACGGCCTTGTATTTGGTAATTGGTTTGGAACCAGGATGCGCCTGTTTGTGCTTGCTCTCCGCTACGAACTCCACTGTATTGGTAACGCTGTCGAAATGTGCTTTTCTGTGGCTCCACCTGGGCTTCTAGGTGTTCTAACCGTTCCTTGCATCATTTTGACTCGATGTCGGCGTACAGGTTTCTATGCGCCACACTTAGACCACGAACTCATCTTCTGACCCATGCGCAGCAGGCCATACACTCTCTTCACTTGTAGTTTTCCCCGCCCTGGCGAGATTCGTCGTTCAATGAGCTTTTTCATGTATTCATGGTTGGCTCGTAGCGCGACGCTCACGTAACTGTAGTCCCCATTGTAAAAGGCAACCTCGCAAAACTCAGCGAACCGAGCCATATTAAGGTTGAACCACCTGTCCTGGTCTTGTGGCGTGTTTAACTCGCGCCCTGGATCAGCTGGTCTTACAACGGCTACGGCAGCGGCAGCGCCCGCCATTGCTCGCAATTTTACTTCGCCCGCTACCATGCAAACCCTCGGGGAGGATAGGCACGGGAACGAAGACGATGTTTTCTCAGACCGATCCGCTCGACACGAACGGTAGTGATCAGTCACTTGAGCCAGACGGCATCGATCGCGACGCGCGCTCGGTAAAAATAGTGCAACTGTTCTCCTGACCCGATCACCCTCATTATAATCAGCACCTCCTCCTCGTCATCCGCCATTTCCTCCTCCTTCCTCGACCCT